CCTGGGCCCCCCAGCTGGGGCTGGAGCTCTGCGGATGCTGCTGACCCCTGCTACCTCCTGGCCACAGGGGGCAGAACTCCACTGCGCTGCCCACCCCTCCGTGTCCCCCCACACATGGGGCTCACAGCTGAGTCATCAGGCCCCCCACTCCCGCCCTACAGCCCGTTACTGGTGGGGAGGAGGAAGCCCGAGGCGAGGACAGACTCCGGTTTCTCTCCCCCGAAGGCCATGGTGGCGAAGTGGACGCAGTAGCAGCCGAGGTCCAGCAAGGCCCCGCCTCCCAGCTCCTTCTGCACCGCCCGGGGGCACTCCAGGAGGGGAGCCCCAAAATCAATCCTCACCATCTTCAGCTCCCCGAGCGCCCCCTGGGAGAGCAAGGAGTAGAGCCGCTCGGAGGCTGGGAAGAAGCGGGTCCAGTAGGCCTGCGAGGGGACACAGAGAAGAGGGTGCTGGGGCCCGGGGCCAGGCAGGGGCCCAACGGGGCCGACCCGTCTGGAGACTCCCGGATTCGCCCGCTCCCTGCTGCTCCCCAGCCAGCTCACTCGCGCAGGGTAAAGAGCAAACAAAACAAGGGTGGGGAACGTATGGACCAGGGGCCGGATCCGGCCCCCAGCATGCCTGGATCCGGCCCCAGAGGCTCGGGGCTCTCCCCAGCAGTGGGGGAGCTGGCCCTCCAGCCCTGGGGCTCCCCTCCTGCCCAGACTCTGCACACCCCCCCACTCTGCTCCTGCACCCTGCCTCCCATCCAGTCTGCCTCTGCATCACATCCCCCTCATCCCTGCCCCCTCCCTCTCCTGCCCAGACCCCACACCCAAACTCCCATTCCCTGCAGCCCCTCCCACACACTCAGCCCCACTGCAGAGCCGGGGGGGACAAAAAAATCTGCTAACCTGCCCCCCCGCCCCTGGCTCTGGTAGGCGAGGAGAATGTGGCTTTTTGTGGGGTGGGTTTTTTTTTTTTTGCTTCTCACTTTTGTGTTCTTCCTCCTGGACTGGGGGTATTGGGCTGGGAGGAGTGGGGGCGGGGGCC